GGGTCAACGGCTGCTTAGTGCTGCGTGGCCGGAGCCTCAAAATAGACCATAAGCACATAAGTAACTGGAGTCGGGCTGGCATGCACCCCCTCGCCTCTCCTCCTGATGCCCCAGAGCCCAGAAACTTTCCCCTCTGGCTCATTTTATCCCCGCGGAACAAGACACGGCGAGAGCAGGGAGGTGGGCTGAGGACCGACCGGCTCATCACACTACCCGGGTGCTGTTGCAAAAAATCAAATAGCAAAGGGAAGAAAAGCCGGGGGGGAGCGGGGCTGCTCTTCTAAAGGTACCCAGCTTGGCTACTAAAATAATGGAATTTCCTGCCGGCAGGGCACTAATTATTTATTACTGGTGGCACATGCAAACCTGGTGCTGCCCCGGTGCAGAGCACATCTCCGCGCCCATGGCTTTACAGCTGGGAGCTTAGAGGGGGCTAGGAGCTGGGAAAGGGCCAAAACTCAAGGGGATTTCAGCACTGAGCCCTCCCCAGCTCCTCTGCAGAACCTCGTATGTCCCCTGTCCCCCTGAGTTGCTCCGAACCCCCTTGTCGATCACGTCCCATCGTGCCTGATTCATTTTTTCTGCCTGTAAAAATATCGAGTAATGCTACCCCAGAGCCTGGAGGAGATGGGACAGAACCACCTCTGTGGTTTGCGATGGTGACTTGTGGCTGAAGAGCATCGAGCCGTGGGCTCCTTCGGTTAGGGTGGTGTGGTGTGGGGCTTTTTGGTGTGGTTTTTTTTGTTTTTTATTTTTTTTACAAAAGATGCTGAAGAACAGTAATAATCCACCCTGCAAGGATGCTCTGCGAAGTTCAAACCCTGCCTGGGGCTGCAAAGGACAAGCGGGACGCCCCGGGGGGGAGGAATTTTCCAGTCCCCATTGAGAAAATCAGATTTTAGCAGCTGATGGAGGCTGGAAGCTCAGCTGAGGGATGGCAGTGAGGTGGGAGCTGCCTCCCAGCACCATTTTAGGTCTGATTCAGAGCAGCTCTGCCCCCAGGCGATGCCAACCCCCCCCCGGGGGAGCTCACCCTCCCCAGCTGGACCACGGCAGCCGGGATCTTTGCTTAAAGCGTGCAATGCTCCTGCAAGACGGGATGGGAAATCGCCTCTCCCCCCGGTGCTTTCCCAGTGATGTTCCCACCCATCACTTCACCTGCAGGGTCTGCTCCCCCTCCCTGAGGTGAGCTCACCATGGCTGGGGAAGAAATGGTATTTCCATGGAATACCAAAATTACCAAGAAATGGTAATTTTGGACTGGTTTTGGCTACGTGGCTCCTACAGGTCCAGCCACCAGGCTTGCAGGCCAGCATGGCCACAAAAAGAGCCAGCAACCCAGCGAGTGAATGTTTCCCAAGAAAAAAACCTGCCGGCAACCCCCTCAGCAAGCTTTTTCTATCCTTCTCCATTTGCTTCAAGGCAAAAAAAAAGAGATTAAAACCCTCCAAAGGGAGGGGAGGTGGGAGGGATGGGCAGCCACAGATGCCTGCTCAAAGGGAAGAGTATTGGGTATTGCCCCAAAGCATCCCCTTGCACACTCAAGTTTCTCTGAAACGAAGGACCTGAGGATCTTCTGCTTTTCCTTTTAAGACCTTGGGCTGTTGGCTCTTTCCGCTTCCACCACGCTTAGCGACATCGTGCCCCCCACCCCTTTGGGCTTGATGCACTAGCACGAGAGGTGGCACAAGGAAAAGCAGCAAAAAAAAAAAAAGAACTTTTCCCCCTCCAAACAACCTCATACCCCTGGGCTGCAGGTTCCTTGTGAATACAAACCGTGCCCACATTTAATCACGTCCCGGATTAAACCCACCCGCTCGAGCAATCCCCTGGGCCTGGGAGATGCTGCGAGCACCAACGCCAGCATCGCGTGCCGGGGGCGGTAGCTTGCTCCCCATCGTCATCCCACGTGCGGTTCACGCTCCATCGGCGCTCTGGATACCCTGTAATTTTTTATTGGCTAAAAAACCAGTAATGGAGGTTCACTGGGAACCGCCTGCGTACGAGAACAGCCGAGTCCTCCTTTCCCACAAGGTCTCCATCTCCAGTGGAAGCGTTTCAAGTATTTTGGCAATTGCACGTCCCGGCAATTCAGCCCCGAAGCCCGTAAATCCCTAATGGATATTTAATCGCAAATCATCTCCAGCTCTGCAGGCTGCGATGCTGATCACCGCATTAAGCACGGCAGAACAGTATAGAAAAGGGTATTTCAGCTAATACTAATAACCCGCCAAGTGAGTAAATATCCTTCTGGCTTGAGCGCTACAGGGGGATCTGGGATCTGGATGAAACATGTGAGGATGCAGTAAGGAAGGATGAGGATGGATGAGGATGAGGATAGGATGGATGCTCAGCAGTGCAGCACCGGCCTTTCAGGCTCAAACCCATCGGGGTGAAGCCCAACGAAGGAAATCCAGCACGGATAAGCGGAGGAGCTGGGTACCCTGCTGTCACCATCCCCCTGCCATGCCCAGGGCTGGGGAGGGGTGGGGGCCAGCTCCTTGCAATGTGCCCGTCACTGCCACCCCGACATCTACAAGCTCATCTCAAAGCTTCACCAGTGACATTTGTCTTTGAATGTCTACGAGCATTAATTTTCCAGCTGGAGCAGCATGACACGGCAGGCTTCTTCCTTGCAAAGCCACCAAAGGGCACCTGTACCGTGCAAGCTGCAGCGATGTTTTTTTGCCACAATTGTGGAAGTTTCTGGTTCTTCCCCAAGAAGTTTTGCAGCCAAGAACCCAGTGAAGATCCAGGGCAAACACGCTCTGGCGTGGCAACGGAGGATGCTGCTCCAGGGGATGGGGACCACTGAGCCATCACCCCAAAGCAGGGGGGATCATGGGGCTCTCCTTATTATTCCCTGTCCCCCTTTTAGGGACATGGTTTAGTGGTGGGATGGCAGGGTTAGGTTAAAGGTTGGACTTGATGATCTTAAAGGTCTTTTCCAACCAAAGCGATTCTATGATTCTATTCCTCAAGACAATGCCCAGGCACAGCTCAAGGGATAATTTTCTCCCAGGACCTCGCAACATAGGTATATAGATGACATACATTAGTTTCCCACCTTCTGTTCGATGCAGATTTCCATCACTACCCCAGCAGGCTTTGCACCCTCAAGATCCTTGTGCCACATCCCAGAGCAGACAAGATATATCCTTGGTTTTGTGCTGTAAAAATACCACACTGAGGGGCTGCAATTCAGCCCTCATGTTACTTCAGCTCCTTCAAACTGGAAAAAGCAGACCAAATAATTATTGCGGTTTAGGGTCACAGGAGAGTCATACTAAATCCAAAGGACTCCTGCACCCAAGTGCAACACAGGGAGAAAGCAGCTGCCTGCACTGGGGGATAGCTGTCTGAGCAGTGGGATGGAAAGCCGGCAGCGCAGCCTGGCATGGGAATGATCCTCACCTTGTCGCCTCCAGCAGCATGGGCACAACCAGGGAAAGAAGGCAGAGCTCTGCCTCCAGACTTTCATTTTACCCCCTTTTCTGGAGAGATGGCCGTTGAAGCAGAGGCCACCAG